GATAATTTCAGTTTGTCCCCTTAGTATGAAGTTCTTTAAAGATGCATAGTTTTCTGACTTTCATTCTCTCCAATTCGTTATAAACTTCATTTTCCACTGCGAAAAGGAGATGTCTGGTCTCAGTTATTCCCATCCTATTTGAAAACCAGATTTAGTTTTAAACCAGAGGAAGGGAATCTCAAGTCTTTACCTCCTATAGTCTGGTATGATTCTCTCTCTTTTGGTATTATCTTCCTCCACATTGGAACACTCCAGACAATGCATAGGCTGAGAGGTTATCTCAGATTCAGAAAGATTCTGGCCTTATCCCAGGGGAGGGTACAGAGGAGCTGATGGCTATGAATTCTAAAATGGAACTGCTCAAGGTTGTTTGAAGAAATAAGAAAGGGAGTTGGGAAGAGAAATGCCCTGTGAAAAAGAAGAAATAATCTTTTAGGAAGGGAAGGCTAATTTTATTTTAAAACAAAATAAGAACTCAAGAAATAAGAGGGTTCTTCCAATAGGTTACAGTGATCCTGTCAAACATATATGGGCTTCTAGGTTTTTCTAAAGACTGTTTCTACTAAGAAAGCATAGACCACTATTGAGAAAGGCCATTAAACTGGAATTTAGGAGGTCTGACTTCTGATTCTGACTTCTTGAATGTATTGTTAGCCATTTAAACACACTGTTGTTTCTTTTTCTACCTGCAGAATCTCAAAGTTCTTTCCCACTTCTGTACAAAACTATAATCTGAACATCCTTTTTTGTTTAATGTATGTCTGCATTTCCTGTTTGAAGATATGTGTCCCAGATCCTAAATGACTGACAAATTTTAAATCTCCAATAGGAAAGATGACAAACTCTATGGAAACTTGGCTTCTGAAGAACTCCTAGGAGTTTCCCAAAGTCACCAGTGTTTCCTAAGAAGGCAGAGAAATCAAACACATGTTCTTTTCCTCCAAACAAGCTCCTTTGGGTCATCAGGATTTCTTCAACAATAATATGTAATAATTCCAAATGTTTGTAACAGAAGGGGTGGGACTTTCTTCACTTATTTAAATAATCCCTTTTTTATACTACTGAGTTTTCATCAACAAATACAAGCTTGTGGAGGAGTACTTTAAAATGCAACTTCTCTCTATTTTTGTGGGGGCTACTATTTATTTCTCATATTAATAATTTATTACTCTGTTTTTTAGAAAATTCATTCATCAAGTATTTCTTGAGCTTTTTCTATGAGGCAGGCACTGTTTTGGGCAGGTAATACAGCACTGAACAAAGTAAAAAGTTTCCCTGCACTCATGGACTTTAGTTTTACATTTATGAAAAGCTACAAACATTAGAATAAGTAAAATACTGCCTGGAGGCTAAAGGCATATTTTGACTACTTATTCCCTAATTCTTTTAGGAGAGAACTAGAACTCACCTGTTAGTTAGCGGAACCACTACCAGTGATAGCCAACTATACATTCCACCCCACCATACCTCATTATCACACCCATTCACTCACAAGCTTAAAGTCTTAACTTTTCTCCACATCAGTGACTATTTCCTACAGCTTTTCTTTTACTTTCCATGTTTGCAGTGACAATATACATAAACAGTGTATGAAAACTCAAGTAAAATCTACTCTTTCAGGTGTTCGTAATGCATCAATGTATATTGCTTTAAGCCATGAAGGTAACCTAGGTAAACACGTACCATGTTCCACCAATGCTTCTTTCGATCATCATTTTATCCTTCTCTTTTTTCTTTAGGATCCTTTCTTATTCCTTCACCTGACCCTTCTTTCATTCTCCACCTTTCTTTCCAATTCATCTTTATTCTTCCCTTTCCTTTTTACTCTCTTTAAACATTCTATTGACTCTGACTCCTCCACACTGATATTGAACACCCATAGTTTCATATTTTGGATTGTGATTGTTTTATTTTAAAATGGTAAATATTCATGTTATAAAGATAATTTTTCAGTCTTTAGACTAATAGGTTCATGTAGCTTGGAATTTTCCTCTTTAAAAAAATTAATGATCACCCACACTCCAAGACAAACACCATTTCAGTAGCAATATGAATTTCAGTAGTAATAGGAATCTCCAAATCTGAAAAGTAATTCAGACATCAATTGCTTTAATTGTTTTGTAAATGATCTTATAAGATGAAATATCACTTTCATGATGAGAGTCCTAGAGTGCTTGGTTTATATATTGTATCTTAGTTTTAACAGGAAAAACACTTGATCCTAAGCAGTAAACATGATTCTTCAGCTTCAACTTTATTTCCTTATAAATAAATACTTATGAATTTGTGTTGAGCTCAGTAAGTCACCAAACACCTTCTGCTCAGCATCATAAAGGACATTTCCATGAAACCTCCCAGGCATAATCTTATTTACTCTATAATGCTTCCCAGGTTCAATTCCTCTCCCAAAATTCTTTGTTCCTAAGCCCCTGTGATCTGGGTGATCTAAATATGGGCAAGAAGTCCAGGGATAGCAGTATGAATGAAGTAAAAATAGTAAAACATAGTTTAAAAATGTACAGATGCTTTCTGATTTATAATAGCGTTATGTCCTGATAAATCCACCATAAGTCAAAATGCATTGAATATTCCTAATCTACCTCACATCACAGTTTAGCCTAACCTACCTTAAATGTGCTCAGAACACTTAGCTTATATAAGATCACCTAATACAAAGCCTATTTTATAATAAAGTATTGAACAGCTCACATAATATATTGACTACTATTCTCAAGTACAGTTTCTTCTGAATGCATGTCACTTTCTCACCATTGTAAAGTCAAACAATTGTAGATCAAACTATCACAAGCCAGAGATCATCCATATGTATTTCATTCAGAAAATGCTGGAAAGAGCATTTAAGAGAATACCTAGATGACAGAAGGTAGAAAGCCATACACAAATTGACTGAGAGTTTTAAAAAATGCATGCATATTGTGGAGATAGAAATCAAATCTATTTTTCTCCATCTGCCATATTCGTCCCAAAATATTATCTCTTCTTATCCCATTGTACTATATTGCATTTCTTTGACCATTTATTGTGTATCTCTTAATATTTCCTACTTCATCATTACTAGCCTCACTCACTCTGAACTTGATAAGAGCACCCGAGCATTAATGTTTCTTATAATTATTTAATGATTACCAGAATTCTTTCAGTATGGCCAGCTCTGGTCAAAGTGAGGCAGGCGAGATGCTTGGCAACTGCCTGGATGGAATGTCTCAAGAGGTTTCCATTTCATGATAGCATTACACTAAGTTCAAGAAGTTTAATCAGGACTCTTCACTTACTTAACTATACCTCCTTGAGAATTCCATCTATGAAAACATTATAGTCGTTGTAAAAATGATTGATTAGATGAGGGAAGTGGTAGAGTTCTTTATTTCTTTAGTTGGTTTGCCCTCTTATAAGAGTCAGTCCTAGTTTTCAAAATTCTAAATAAGCCATTTATTCCTTCAGCTTTCTATGCCATTTGATGTTTTGTCAAAATATATATACAGTATGTACATATACACCGAAAGATATTTCAAAATCTAGAAACAGAGCTTTAGAGCTTTGTAAAGCTCTTTTAAAAATCAAAAGCAACTGTTATTTAAAATGTTGTACTATGCAATTTGTTTACCATTATTACTTTTAGTATTTTTAAGAAAAGTCTTCCCAATGTTATTATAAATGTGTCTATCAATATTTATTTTAATAACTGTTATTACAGTCCATCATGTACATACATTATACTTAAACCTAATGTTTGGTATTTAAATCATTTCAAGATTTTATCACTGTCAATAAAGTATGATGAATATTTCTATGCTGAAAACTTCTTCTGTAAAAATAGAATTCCAAGAGTATTATTGCACCAAAAGGCATGGACTTAAAATTCTTGATACATGATTTCAAAATATTTTAAGGTTTGAATCAGTCTATATTCCCTCTAGCAGTGTATAAAAGTGTCAGTTTCACTGATCCTCAGCCAGTTTGGGTAATAATAATTGTAAAACTTTTTTTTTTTTTTTTTTTTTTTTTGAGACAGAGTCTCCATTGCCAGGCTGAAGTGCAGTAGCGCGATCTCGGCTCATTGCAACCTCTGCCTCCCAGGGTCAAGCTATTCTCCTGCCTCAGCCTCCCAAGTAGCTGGGACTACAGGCATGCACCACCACACCCAGTTAATTTTTGTTATTTTTAGTAGAGTCGGGTTTTCACCATGTTGGACAGGATGGTCTCAATCTCTTGACCTCATGATCCACCCTCCTCAGCCTCCCAAAGTGCTAGGATTACAGGCGTAAGCCACCATGCCTGGCCTGTAAAACTTTTTCCTAATTTAACAGAAAAATAATAGTATTAAATTGTATCATATTTATTTGATTTCTAAGACACACACACACATATATCTATATATACAAATAGATGTATAGCTTACATTTTAATTCTTCCTTCATTTGTTCATTTATTAGGTCTTGGAGATTTCGTGAAATAGTTTAAACTATTTTTTATATTATGAAGATATCAACCTTTTGTCTGTACAGCATTTCAAATTCAAGTATGATTCACGTGTTAGTGCTGGGTAGATCATTATACGCACATGTAGGAAACAGCTTTCAGAGGTACCTTAACTATAATTATGCATTTGCATTCTCATTTCTAATTTTTATTTAATGTTATTATTGATTACATTTTTTAATATTCTGTATTTTTAAAACTACTTAATATATTTTTATATATTTGTATACAATCTTGCCATTTTCTGGGATTTCATATTTCTTTATTTTTGTTTTTTACCGTTTTTTGCCTGAATTTTTTGAGTTTTTATGCATTCTTTTCCACTTTCTTAAGATGCTAATAAGTTCATGTATTTGAGCAAACGAGAACATTTAAAGCAATAAACTGCCTACAAGCACAGCTTTGTCCATATTACATTAACATTTTATACCCTGGGTTCCCACTATTTTTAAAAAATCTATTATCAAATAAAAGATTTGTTAATAATAAATTTTAAATTATTAACACTTAACACATTATTTTCAGTCCCACTAAGTTGATTCCTTCTTTTCTTTCAGGTTGCTTCAGAGTCTTCCCTTCTATCTGATTCAATGGACCAAGTAAATGACTCTGTGGTAACAGAATTTGTATTACTTGGACTTGCACAATCCTTGGAAATGCAGTTTTTTCTTCTTCTCTTCTTCTCTTTATTCTATGTGGGAATTATCCTGGGAAACCTCTTCATCGTGTTGACAGTGATCTTTGATCCTCACTTACACTCCCCCATGTATATTCTGCTGGCCAACCTATCGCTCATTGACTTGAGCCTTTCTTCTACTACAGTTCCTAGGCTGATCTATGATCTTTCTACTGAATGTAAAGTTATTTCCTTCCGTAATTGTATGATACAAATGTTCTTTATCCATGTTACGGGAGGAGTTGAAATGGTGCTGCTGATAGTCATGGCATATGATAGGTACACTGCAATCTGCAGGCCGCTCCACTATCTAACTATTATGAATCCCAAAATGTGTGTGCTTTTGGTAGTAGCAGCTTGGGTCATTGGAGTGATTCATGCTATGTCTCAGTTTGTTTTTGTCATAAATTTACCCTTCTGTGGCCCTAACAATGTGGGGAGCTTTTATTGTGATTTCCCTCGGGTTATTGAACTTGCATGCATGGACACTTACGGGCTAGAATTTGTGGTCACTGCCAACAGTGGATTCATATCTATGGGCACCTTCTTTTTCTTAATTGTATCGTACATCTTTATTCTGGTCACTGTCCGACGACGTTCCTCAAATGATTTATCCAAAGCATTCTTCACTTTGTCAGCTCACATGACTGTAGTGGTTTTGTTTTTTGCTCCATGTATATTTCTCTATGTGTGGCCTTTCCCTACTAAGTCATTGGATAAATTTTTTGCCATCGTGAACTTCGTTGTCACCCCTGTCTTAAATCCTGCCATCTATACTTTAAGGAACAAAGATATGAAGGTTGCAATGAGAAGGCTAAGTCAACAGATTTTAAATTCTAGGGAGATGACATAACGGATTTGGTTGATGAGAGCACAGGATAAATGCCATTGACCATAGAGACTCTTATGATCACCATGATCACTACGGAATGTGCACATTTTTAGTATTGCCTTAAAAAACTGAGAAATCGGCCGGGCACGGTGGCTCAAGCCTGTAATCCCAGCACTTTGGGAGGCCGAGACGGGCGGATCACGAGGTCAGGAGATCGAGATCATCCTGGCTAACCCGGTGAAACCCCGTCTCTACCAAAAAATACAAAAAACTAGCGGGACGAGGTGGCGGGCACCTGTAGTTCCAGATACTCGGGAGGCTGAGGCAAGAGAATGGCTTAAATCCAGGAGGCGGAACTTGCAGTGAGTTGAGATCCGGCCACTGCGCTCCAGCCTGGGCGACAGAGCGAGACTCCGTCTCAAAAAAAAAAAACAAAAAAAAAAAACCGAAATCTGCAAAAAAAGAATGTATTAATTCTAATAATTTTATTTCAGATAAAGTTGCAACAATTTTTGTTAATCATAAAAAATAAAGTATTACATATTTCTATCTAATGCATATACTTAAATTATTAACAGCAATGACCATCTTTAATTTTCATGTGGTTATTTTGTATCTGTATATAAGCACATACATATATATATATATATGACCTAGGTTTATTTATCAGCATTTTTATACTGATAATAAGCATCAGTGGAAATTAATTTTCTTATGGAAATTACATAGATCCAATGGATAAAATATGGGTTTATATAAATGAGTAAGTGCTAAAATTAAGGAAGAAACACTTTCTATTTCAACTGTACTTTAAGTTAGATAAATGGCAGGGTCAACAGGTTGTCACAACTCTGTAAGTATTATTTGCAGTTTGATTGTCAATATGTTTTGTACAATGTTATTTTAGAAATAGACTCTAGTACTCTGTATTATGCAAAATTTGTCTGTGTTACACTTTTTAACAACACAATCGTATTGCCCTTGAAATCTTCTTCAAAGCATTACTCGAGTCATTCCTAAAAAGCATCTACAACCTAAAAGTATTTGAAGAGATTTATTTCCTGGAGGAGAGACTCCATTGTGATCTTAAAAGAACATTTAATGTGTCTGCACTTAAGGTGCTTAGGTCAAAGAAGATGATTGACATCTTTCAGGTAAAACCTGGTAAGCTTGGTGGTCCAGGAACACAACTGAGACATCACTTGGATATATTTCTATGACTGTTTTAAGAAACATTAATTGTGGTGACTCACTCAGCTCACTTTTAACTACTGCATGGTAATTAAAGATGCAAAATAAAATAAGTTACAAGAAGTGAGGTTTTTTTATGGGTCAAAGCAATTTTTCTATATTTTGTCCACAAGTTGGTCATAAAAGTTCTAAGCATTCCTCTTTTTCTAAAATCGAAGCATTATTACTTACTCTCTTGTTAACCTATCTGGATTTTAATTTTGTAACTTTATTATATTTGTTTTGCTGTGGTTCTTTTTTTATACATATACTTTAAGTTCTAGCACCTTTAGACTCAGTGAGATAGCAAAAATATTCAAATAAACCAAAAAATTTTTGGCAATGTCCTCTAATTCAAGAAAATTCTGTGTGTTTTCTCTAATGGCCAAGGGAAAACTTGTGAGACTATAAAAGTTAGTCTCAGTACACAAAGTTCAGACTGGCTATTCCCAGATCTCTTCAGGTACATCTGGTCCATTCATAAAGGCTCTTAATTAGCCAAGTGGTTTACTAAAAAGAACAATTCACTATATATTATTCTCTTAAAATTTTTATGCTTGAAGGGAGTACACATAAAGGGAAATTTGTACTCCTCATTCTCTGAAATTTCCTGTAGTCTCTTCCAGTTATGAAGAAGGTAGGTGGAAACAAATATATTAGAAGAATGAACCAAATTGTAGCATTTTATTGACAATGAGATGATTCTATTAGTAGGAATCCATTCTGCATAATTCCATTTTGTGTTTACCTTCTGGGAAAATGAAAGGATTCTGTAGAGTTAGCTTAAATACTTAGAGGAATTAATATGAATAATGTTAGTAAGAATAACCCTTGTTATAAGTATTATGCTGGCAACAATTGTCGAGTCCTCCTCCTTACTCTTCTGGGCTAATTTGTTCTTTTCTCCCCATTTAATGGTCCTCTTCCCCACCTTTCTCCATGTCAGGTGTTTCTTGCCCACCTCCTTCCCTCCTTTTTATAATACCAGTGAAACCTGGTTTGGGGCATTTCTTTCACATAAAAGTACAAATCATACTGTTAGAGTTGTGAGGATTTTTAGAGTTTTTGATGGAATAAACTCATTTAAAAACAGGACAGCTAAGGCCCAGAGATTTTTAAATGATATTCCCATGATCACACTGTGAATTTGTGGCAGAACCCAAATGCCTACTTCCATCTCACTGAGACTTATTATAAGGACACACAAGGCATTTTTCTTTAAACCTAGGTAAAAGGTTTTTTTGTAAATGCAAAATTCTAATGGTTGAATTCCAAGAATAATCTACGGCATGAAAGATTTTACCTTTCGACAGTGACTGGCTCTTCCTGGTTGCTACAATGAGTGCATAAGATTCTGAAGAACTCCTTTAATGGGCCTAAACTTAATGTTCAACTTAGAATAAATACAATTCTTCTAAATTTTTTTTGAATAATATTTGGAAAGTCAGAAATGAGCTTTGAAAGAATTATGGTGGTGAAGGATCCCCTCCGCAGCATAAATTCAGGAGAGAGATGTCTTAACTATGTTAGCAAGAAATTCCTTTTGCTAAAGAAAAGCATTCATGAATTCTTACTAACAACAACCATCATAGAAAGTATTTTGCTACAGATGAGAACCCTTGGGTCAACCTCATCCTTGGCATATTTCATGTGGAAATATGATTTCAAGTTTGTCCTTGTTGATCAATGAAATGAATTAATTTTATATCAACACATATCTAAGGTCTATTCTAAATTGCACACTTTGATTCAAAAGAAACAGTTCAACCAATCAGTCAGGACAGAAATTATCTCACAATAAAAATCCTATCATTTGTACTGTCAATGATTAGTATGATTATATTTACTACTGTGCTAAGCAGAAGAGAACTGAAGTGAATGTTGATGATTTATTCCACTATTAGACTTCTCTTTATCCTTAAAAATATTTAGAATCACTAAATTTTTATAGGACTTTAAAAACAGTAATGTGCTGCTTGCGTGTGTAAGACTAAGACATGGGATTCAGAGTAGTAAAGAGAAAAGTGGAATTTCCAAGCACTGTGAATTACTGTGATTTAAAAAACAGCAAAAAATAAATAACAGTATTCCTCCAAAAAAGATGCCAAGCATAAACTCCATACCTTCACATCTCCCATGGAATGTTAGTCATCAATTTCCACTTCTCTCTTTTACATCTTACTTGCCCATTAACTCTTATACCTAATCTAAAGATTGTTACTATGGCTATACCTCACCTTCAGGATACCTTTTATTTGATACTTCTCTTCACTGCAAAACTTCTTGAAACAGTACTTATTTTTTCTCCTCCATACACAATTGAAAAGGCTCTCAACTTACGCCCAGAAGTCAGTGTTCAGTCTCTCACCTAGCAGATAGCAACTTACAAAGATGCCCCAACAATACCGCCTCGTGTCTAGACAGTTATCATTATCCTTTACCTTTTTCTGTATTTGTTTCTGCTCCTAAAAGGGATCTCTATCTAAAATATTGTTATACTAGTGCTTGTTATAATTATTATCAGAGTTAAAGCCATCACAATGTTCCCAATTACTTAGACTAAAGACACTGGAATAACTTTTTTTTTTTTTATTTTCCACATCTTGCTGAAAAACTATATTGTTATCAGTACCTTAATAATGGCTATTACATATTGACCATTACTATTTGCTAGAAAATTTATATACCTGGTCATATCCAATCCTCACAGAACTTCTATAAAGATGTGCCATTATCACCTATCTTTTCTGGATGTGGGCATAAGACTCAAATCACTTAAGTAACTTGTCTAAGGTCATTCAGATACATAGTAGATATACCCAGGATTTGAACACAAGCCTGGCACACAAGCTCACATCTTAACCACTTTAATATGCTGCTCGATGGGCTCTTACAGGTATTCATTCACCCCTTTCCTGCTCACACAACCACAACCTGTAGTTATTACCTATTGTTAGGCTTAAAATAATTACTTGGCTTCATTCCCAAGCTCCTTCCCTTCCAATTCACATAGAGTCCAGAGCTAAATTAAACAATCATTCAAAATTCTTCAGTATTTCTTGTCTCTATAATAAAACAGAAATCTTTTAGAAAGCATTCCAAAATCTCTTACCAATTTTATCTCCTATGAAACTCCTTCACGCTTTCTCTCATTTAAACTTTATTGCATTTTCCTCACTTTTTCTCACTTCACTTTTGAATTCCCTATTCTTTTATCCTCTCTTAATTTTTAAGCATTATATTTATGATATTATTTTTTCTTTTTTCTATTTTTAATCTTTCATTTCATTTTGGCCTATTTTTTTTTCTCTTAAGAACTTTAATATCACCAAACAACATGTGTGCTACGAACTGTTTTGTAGTTCAAAGAAAAAGGAGATAAACATAGGGTTGTGGCATAGACTTAATCTGGCAGAGAGACAAGCATAAATAATGGTATTTTATATTAGGGATAAACCTAACATTAATGGAGACACTGAGAAGATCAAGATAACTGAATTATAAGGCATAGCCAGGGAAGTAGTGTGAGATAAAATTATGATCTTTGGTTGTTGAATTCTGAATGTCTTTAAGTAATCAAGTATAGAAAGTCACTGTAAGAGTGAGCAGAATGATACAAAATGAGGCTTTGAATCTGAATATAATAATTCTGACTTCGTTCTCATGCTCTTCTTCAAGGTAACTGAAGCGGCTACTTTCTGGAATGAATCAACGAGTGAAACAAATAACTCCATAGTGACTGAATTCATTTTTCTGGGTCTCTCTGATTCTCAGGAACTCCAGATCTTCCTATTTGTGTTGTTTTTTGTATTCTATGGAGGAATCGTGTTTGGAAACCTTCTTATTGTCATAACAGTGGTATCTGACTCCCACCTTCACTCTCCCATGTACTTTCTGCTAGCCAACCTCTCAGTCATTGATCTGTC